GATTTACTTTGACCATTAGAATAAGACAGAAGCAATGGTGCACCGTTCTCAGGCTAGGGGGTTTCCTCTCATTCACTTTTACTTCAGCCATTGCACAAGAAGGACATGCTCATTATAGTATACTGATGGCAGAAGAGGGAGGAAACTCACATAACTTGGCACTCTCCCAGCTCAAGTCCCCCAACCAACCACAGTGTAGAACACAGTCCCCCGCAGACTTGCTGATGGTTGAATGAGGCCACCCAAGACCAGCAGAACCACCCAATAGAGTTGGAGAGAGGTGCCTACTTTATCTTCCAGGAAGAGTATAGATGCTAGCCCTTACAGGGAGGAGAGGGGAAATTCTGTAAGGCTTAGACGGTTCACAAAAATCTGAGGCTTCAATATTTTTGGCTGCATCAACCAATATATCCCTATCTCATGTTCTGAATTCTGTTCTTTTCCAAGCAAGCCAATGTCCTTGTCTTAGCTGACCTTGGAAGAGGATTTCACCTTCCGTGGGGCTCGGCTACTCTTACATGTAAATCCTGCTCCTGGTCTCCTGCTCTCTTTAGAGCTCTCTATAGCTTCCTCTCCAGGAGGTGAGAGCCTTTTTATATACTACCAAAGAGACCCTCTGCTTTTCACATTTAACTTTTAATTGCTGGTTAATCACTCTCAGGTTTGTTTTACTTTTTTTTTCTAGCATGCAATGGCTTACCAACAGCAACCCAATCTCTTTTTCCTTGTAATTACTATTTCCCCTACATGTCTCCAATGTTTGACACATGGTACCAGCTATGCATTTGCCTGAATCAGTCTAACTGTCCTAGTTACCAGCTGGGAAAACTTGAACAATTGCACTCTCATCTTGTGCCCATTGCCAGCCAGATGGCATATAACCAGCTCCAAAATATCATCCCAGTGTCTGCTTTCTTGTGTCACTCCGGACACCAACTAGTCCAGGTTGAGTTCTCCAAGAAGCCAATTCTGATACAGAGATTAATATGTGGAAGATTTATTAGAGTGTGCTCTTGGTATCTAGGAAAGGAAAGGAAGCAGAATTGGCCAGAGGGAGAAGTTGAGCTATGATACGGTCTCAGTGGAGGCCTCAGCAAACCTTACAGGGAATTTTGAATCTGGAGTGACCCTTCAGAGACGTACTCCCATTGATCAGTTATTGAATACAGTCCTGGAGAAGTCGCTTTCTTTAGCTAAAACAATCCTGATAGGGGCTTGGCAGTTGAGGGCTTTCTGTGGACAGCACTCCCAGCATTCGGGGAAGTAAATCCTTCATTCCTGAACGAGGATCTTGTCTGCACACCATAAAGTCCAAAATCACATAATTACACCTATGTAAATTATCCCCAAATGAAGACTGTTCGGATTCGTTTTGAGATAATGAAACTCTTTTCTACTTATTCATTTACTATTGTTTTGCAGTCTTCCGATTTAACAAAATCCTTTGTGTTTACACATTTTCCTGAGTTGATTCCATCCACACTTATCAACTGTAATTAGTTATTTTTTTAATCTACCTCCATTTCTGGACTGAGAACTTTATGTGGATGATATGATTTATCCATTTTTTTTAACTCACTGACTGCCATATACCAAGCGCTTCATAAGTATTTGTGCAGTAGTTGTTGACTAAGTAACACCATAGTACTTATTTTTCAGGTGTTCCATCCATTTTTACTTACTTCCTACAAAAAGGTACTCTATTGGGGGAATGACCACACTGTAGACATTCTACTCTATTATTTACCCTCTACCACTTCATTTACATACAAATATCTAATGTTTTAAAATTTCTCATTATATTTAGGGGGAAACATGTCCACAGTAAATGGACCTCGTTGGGTAGCTTAAATTAGCCTTTTCAAAGGACCCCATTAATGTTGTGATTAAATTACTTTCAGATTATATTTAGCAAAAAATATTCTCCACCTTCTCTTAGATTTCATATACAGGGGTTGAGGCTCAGCACTCTTTCACACTTCTCATTTGCTCTCATGGATCTTATTTTGAGTATGCATATCATGTCCGTGGTCTATTTCTGATCTCCATGTAAATTTGATTTTTCTAAGATAAGATTTCATATTACTTTTAATACCTGCAGATTTCAAAACTTTTACATTAGGGATGGAAATCTCACTTGGTTCCCAATAACATTTCCAGAGAGGAAAAAAGAGAAAAAAATGTGTTTCAATTTCTTTCATTTCAACATCTGTGATTACCCTTCTGTAAGTTCATTTTCCTGGCAATGGGAAAATTTTCCTACTCAGTTAGATAGAAACCAGTAATGAGTAACTATCAAAACAGGGTGGGGAAAGTATTCTTCTTCTATCTTCCATTTCTTTGAAAAATTAATGTGCCTTTAGAAATTATTCTAGAGATATTTATAGAAAATTGTTAGTTTGAGGGAAAATATGCCAGATGCACAGGTTGGTTGCACATTCAGGAATGAGTGGTAGGTTTGCATTCTGTAGAAGTTTTACTGTACTGTGGGAAAACCATTGTTCCAATCCAAAGAATGTGATCCACAGAGCCCCAAATCTGTCACAAGGATTGATAGTTTGGAAGCTGAAATAGACAATTCAGCACAATTTTCTGGGGGATAAAACATTTTACAAGATTCCTTGGAGGGCCTAAGTCTTGTATAAATAATGTAAAATCCCTTATATATCAACCTTCGCCATTGCACAGCCTCCTTTTGCGTGGTATTTGCTCTGTCATGGGTCCATCTTGATTCCATTCAACGAGAATTTTATTTCTGGAAATACTAATTTTTATAGCATAAGTATATATATTACAATTCTATAACATTAATCCCAAGTAAAAATTATCATGAAGTTATTTTATAATATTGGTAGGTATGTATAATTAAAAAAATAAAGTTGAAATGTGGTTGCTGCCTGCAACAATAAGAAAGCTTAACTGAACATTTGATTTTGGTGTTTAGCTACACTTTAGTTTCTAAAGCTTGCTATGTATTTAGCTGGGAGATTTAGTCATAATTAAATCAATACCCATTACTAAATAAAAGTGTATTTAGATTTCAAAAGCATATTTAAACTTTTAAAAATTCATCCTACATTTCATCTAAGGAAGGTGACACAGCCAGCAGTTATAATACTGTTTTGATTAAGAAGATGTGAAAAAAAATACTTTGTTGAAAAAATGAAAGCCAGAGAGGATAATCCATACTTTTTAATTGTTTTTCCTGATGTGGATATTAGTTTCTTTTAATCCCAAATTTTAATATATTTTAACAGTGGACTGGGCTACCAAGATTTAGTGGGCAGTTTCAAGAGAGGATTTTTGTAAAGGAAGAACCACTTTGGTAAAAGGCTCACTGACATGAAGAAACTAGACATTAAGATATTATGTCATGATGTCATGAATTATTTCCTTCTCCATGGAAACTTTTTTGTTATCTTAGCATAAATGACTATTATGTTGTTAACAATGCATGAAGAGTAATACAATAATTCAGTATAAATAAAGAATTTTATATTATAGTCCTACAGGTCGCCTTTTTCCTGGTAGACTTACACAGAATTCTATTAAATTGGGTAAAAATGTACGTAGGTCTTAGATATCTGTTGAGAAGATACTAGCAAGAGGAAATTTGTCATACTGTCTAAAAGGAAATAGTTTTCAATACTGTATTTTCATTTTGTACTTACATAAAGGGAGTGTTTTGTGTTTATGCTGGCAAATATGTGAACAGGTTTGATATTCATCAAAACATGACGAGAAAAAAACCTTAAAAAATGTAGTGATATGATTTGTATATTTATTAATTGAATAAAGTAAGCAATAAAAATGCAGTGTGCATAATTTATTTAAACAACTTCTAAAGCTTTCTAATTCAGCTTACCCTGGTATGGACCACACAAGGAGCTCTGGTGGCACTGTGGTTAAAACACTTGGCTGCTAACTGAAAGGTTGGTGATTTGAACCCACCAGCTGCTCCACTTCTGTAAAGATTTATGGCCTTGGAAACCCTATGGGGCAGTTCTACTCTGTCCTACAGGAGTGCTATTAGTCGAAATCGACTTGACAACAATGGGTTTGGTTTTTTTGGTTATGAACTTGTGGTGCAATTAATTACTTTTGAGTGTGGCCTTTCTAGCCATGATTTTGTAACACCCATCCAGGTGATTGTGTGATAGGGTAATTGTGGTCTACCAAGGGGATTAGTCAGTTTTGCCTTAAAAGAGAGCCAGTTCTACAGAAGGAGGAAGCGTCTACCACCACCAAGGAAAGAGAGACCAGCAGAGACCTGGCAACAGGGGATGGCACAGTGGGATTCCCAGCCCAATGAGAAAGCTGAGTGCCTTTGGGCAGAGACTGAGGGTCAGAGTGCCTGTGAGCAGAGCTGGGAAGAGGCTGTCCTGATGTAAGAATTGTATCCTGAGTGTTCCTGAGCATGAATTGTAACTGTTGCTTCCCTAATAAACCCCATAACTGTGACTATAGTCTGTGAGTTCTGTGTGGTCATTGCAATGAATTATTGAAGCCAAAAGAGAGTGTTGTGTGAGGGACAGTTGGTGTCAAAATTAGTAAAGATGGTGGAGGGAGGAGGCTTGTCTGGCCTCTACTTCATGGCAGTCAGCCTTGTGCTGTAGATCTTGATCTTTCCTCCCCATTGTGGGGTTGGAGGAGGTCAGATACTGCCCCTAACCCGTTCTGTACAGGGCACCACATGAGTCTGGAAGAAAATAGGTATTTTTCCTTAAATGTTTACAAACTTATTCCATGATAGTTTTATATGGGTAATCACTTACAGAATCTTCATATCTTTAAACTAGAGAACAAAAGAGAATGCAAAATTTATATTTTCTAACAATACTATGGCTTTGGACTAGTATTTTATTTTTTCAAGGAGTTGTGTGTAGGTGTGTGTATGTCTGGTAAATACTTGCCCCAAGACAAAATCTTCCTAAATTATGGAAAACATATTTAGTTAGAATGACAATACATATGGAAAAAAGTCACAGAAGTGTTTTTTTGTATGCACCCCAGGTGATTTAATTTTATTTCAGCAGAAATTATAAAGAAGGTATAAGAATTGTGATAAATATCAGTAGTATAGAATCACATCAGTGATGTTATCTGGCCTGTAGAAAAACAGAGCAATATACTTAAGTGCTGTTTGTCAGGAAAATATAGCCACATTGCTCATTTCATTCGGAAAAAAACAGTAAGATTTAAACAAATTATGAAAAAAAATCATAAGTTATAATTCAAGAAATATTCCATTGTGATAGACATGAGATTTCTGAACATTAAGTTTATTAACAAGTTCAAAACAAGTTTATCAAAATCCCAAAGTCTTACATAAGGACATCAGTTTTCTCAGTGATTACTGGTAGGCTGCAAGCAGCCAGTGATGTTTCACTCAGTATCACTGTAACACCTATTCCTTTTAATTTGCTCTTCCACGGTGAGTTGCTCAGACCGCACCTCCACATTGGCAAATGAAGGCTCAGCTGCACATTCACTGCTCAGAGCATCAAAACTTATGTTTCCGTGACTATGGGCTGCTCCTATTGTTTCCCCATGCCAATGATTAACGTCCTTCCCAAATTCTCTTAAATACAAGCATGGCATGTTTTTAATTTGATCTACAGAATCTCCTAAATTATGCTCAAAAACGTTTTCATCTTTCTTGGAAAAAGCAGCAATTTTCACAGTGTTGGAAAAGAAGAAGTGTAAATTTTTGTTACTTGAGTGATTTCCTCTGACGTTTAATATGTTTGTATCAATTGAACCTTTCCCCTTTACTCTTAGCCCACCACGGAGGCCTGATTTTGGAGCAGACCGCACAGGACTGCCAGCAGTGGCTCTGTGGGTCTGTTTATTGAGAGCCATAGCTAGTACATTCCTCGAATAAGTCTTTTCAGATTCAAATATACCAAGTAACTCTGAAATTCTAGATGCATTTTCTAACTTTTCGATTTCATATTCACTTGCAGTGTATTTTGCTTCACTTGACAGTGGTAATAGATTAGGAAACTCTAAAATAGATGTCTTCTGCCTACAATTATTCAGATGTGAGACTGCTACATAGTTGTTGTTATTATTCTTATTCAAATTCTCCTTACGATATTCCGACACCACCTCATCATCAGTGTTAGTAACCTGTAAAACTTCTGCACTGTCAGGTTCATTAATTTTTTCATTTTTCTCCTTTTCAGTACTCTGCACAACCACATTATTGTTATCATGAAGATCCATTTCATTTTTCCTCTTATTCTTTGTATCTTCAGCTTCATTCAGCTTATCTTGCACATTTTTATTTCCTTCCTTCTCCTCTTTTCTTGCTTCATACATTTTCGTTTCTTTGATTCCTGTAACATCCTCTTTCTGACACATAAGAATGGACTGCAGATATGGCTGCAAGAAAGAAATATTATCTTGCTCTTGTCCATTATTTTCCAGAGGCTTAGCACGTTCTATCAGTGACTCACTTTTAATTTCAGGAGGTATAGGAATTGTCATTTCAGGTGGCCATTTAGGTTTATTCATTTTGAGCTCTTCCTCAAGGGTGAAGCCTTTCTTAGGCATCTCCCTGGAAGGAGGCCAAATGATTCTTAATTTTCCCCTTTCCCCTAGTTTTCTCAAATCATCCCTTTGCTCTTCATTATTAGCAGAATCTAAATGTTTAAGATCTCCAAGTATAGGAGTATTTCCTGCATTATTTTTACACATATTTGTTTCTTCATTCGGAATAAAGTCCACTGAGCTGCTTTGATTTTTGTAATTCCATCTATTTTTATGCTGTTTGTATCCAAAACCTTCATCATAATTTCCTTTACATTTGAAAAGTTGCTTAAAGTGAGGTTTACAATATATTTTTCCATGAAGTGATGCGTAATTTCCCAAACTGCCAAAAAGAAAAAAAAAAAAAAAAACTTTTAGCATTCTGTATATTAATGGAAAATTCATAGGGAATTAATTATTTCAGTAATGAGTCAGTCAGTACAATTAACACACTGGCAAAAGGAAGATCCTTATTAATTAAACATTCCTATTAGATAACACTTACCACTAGTACCCTACCTGGTGTATATCTTGCAGTTTTTAGAATTTCAAGATGTTAGTCAGGTATTGGTATAATAGGTAATGAAGATGTACATGTAGATATAGATGATGCAAAAGAATAGGATTAAACCTGTGCTAAGTCAAGGATTTATGTGAAGGGTGGCAATTTACAATTAATCCTGAACAGTACACACACACATACACACACACACACAGAGTCAACCATTTGAACTTCCTAGTTAACTGGATTTTGAATGAATTGGAAATATTGCTTATGCAATTATTTATCTTGCCTCTTTAGAGAGATCAACAAATAGAATGCCTGTTAAAATTACAATCAAATTTAGTGGGAGGCAGCAGCATAGTTTTTTAATATCTCTGCATCTCCACAGAAAAACAGAGCAACTAGATAGCAAAACTTAAAACCCATGGATAACATTTATAACAACTTATAATTAAGAGACCAGGCATCCCCACCAACCCCAAAATACAAACCGGGAGGTGGGGGAATACAAACCACTATCAGCCACATGTTTTGCATGGTAGTTGTATCTGTTTTGTAGATATCGGAAGGAGCAAAAAAGGTGTCTGATGGACATGAAAACAGGGCACTCCAAAAGAGCTAGCCAATGTTTACTAGAAAGTATCACATGCCAATTACAGAACAACAACTGAAACTGGGATGGGTTTTTCCTTCTCTAATAGCCAGTGAGTGCAAGGGGCCTGTGGTATGCAAAACTGAACAGGCTAGATGAGCCAAATTCTCAAAACTGACCTACTGAGGCCTCCTTTTGGAATAGGGCTTCACACTGAGGAAATAATGTAAGAGTGGAATCAAAATTGAGCAGAAGAATGACAACAGAAATAAAAGAGAAGGTCCTGACCAACGTTGGGAAGAAGAAACAGGCCAGGAAATCCCAGAAATCAAGCCTCCATATGTTTTTGAACAGTCTATGAAAACAACAGAAGAGGAAGCACTGTGAAGTTAGAAAAGCCATTCTGAATTTCACTTCTTCTAGAAGTTTAGTAAAACTAATTTCATGTAAAAATGAGTGACAAAATAGTATCGAGGTAAAATTTTACAGTATTACCTTAGGAAAAAAAAGAGTAAGGAGCATTATAATATCCCTGCAGACAATGAAACATATCTGAAAATTATGCCTCAAAACAGGTCAAAACTTTAATCTACCATTTCAAAATGAGCAAAAAGTTCATTAAGAACATAATGAAAGGCCTGAAAGAACAACATGAATCACAATTAGAAAAAACTCATGAATGAAGTGACAGAAATCAGGAAAAAAAAAATTAAAAACAACAACACCAGCAATAAAAACTAAACTAAAAGAAACACAAAAGCAAATAAACATAATAAAAAGTATCTTAAGAAGAGACATAGAAGAATAAGATGAAAATTTTTAAAAATCAAAAAGAAATGGAGAGAAATTAAAAGGATTTGAGAGAAAGAGACAAATACTAGAGATAGGCAAAAAGTATCCAATGTATGTATGATAAGAGTTTCTGAAGAAGAAAACTAAAGCAAGGGAACAGGTCAAATACTAAAAAAACTAATTCAAGAAACCTCTCTTGATATAAAATGTTTGAAACTACATATATGAAGAGCCTACTGGGTAACTAACACTATCAACCTGGAATGGTAAATACGAAGAAATATTCTAGTAAAATTACTAGATTTAAAGAAAAAGAAAAAATTCTTTGCATACCTATAAAAAAAGAACATATGAATTATAAAGGAAAGAAATAATATTATTAGACATTTCTACAGCAGTACTTTAGGCCAGAAGGAAATGGAATAATGCATTTAAGATATGAAAGAAAAGACCTGACCCATACTGGCAGGTCAAAGCAGGCTTCTCTGAAGATATAAAATCTCAGTTGATGTCTGATAAATGAAGAGACATTAGCCTGGTAGAAAGCTGGGGTAGAGTGTAATGGATTAAATTGAACGACACTAAAAGATGTGTTCAAGTCCTCAGCCCTGTTATCTGTGAAGATGACCTTTGTTTGGAAATAGGGCCTTTGAAGATGTTATCAGTTACCATGAGGTCATACTGGAGCAGGGTGGGTCCTAATCTCATCTGAGTGGTGTCTTATAAAAGAGGACCGACACAGAGACAGAAATAGACAGAGGAAGGATGGCCCTCTGAAGAGGGAGGCAGATGCAGCTGCAAGTCAAGGAATGCTAGAGAACGTTTGTGTCACAGACTACCAAAGCATTTACCTCAGTTTACTGTTGCAATGGTGACATCGGAAGCAGGACTTATGAAAACTCTGCTTGTCTGCTACTAAGCACTCCATTGGATAAACTGTCTTTTGACAAAGTATACAAATTTCCTTGTCTTGGAGCAGCAGTTTCTAAAAATAAAATAAAGAAATTAAAAAGACTTATATAGTATAACACTAAACCATGTAGTAAAAATGCAACAAAACAAAACAAAACACCACCGCCACCGCATTAATTGGCCGTGCATTTAAAGTGAAAAGGTCTGACTATTGTCCTAACACTGCTTCTCCAGGCATAGAAAATTATGCCCATCAGGTAGGTTTTGATACAATCAGCCTTAACTCTATTGTCTCTACTGTTTTATGCATTTGAAGAAACATACAGGAATAAATATGTTAATTAACTTTAATATGTTAAAATATACATAGTAAACTCAGCTATGGGAACCGTTAAGAGAATTTATCATTCTAGATAAATGAACTTTCTGCATATATGAAAGCTTACACCTAGCAACTTGGTCCAAAGACTTTATTTTTTAAAGCATTCTAGACAGAAATTTCTAAAATACAGTTGATCCTCATTATTCACAGATTCCATATTTGCAAATCTGCCTATTTGCTAAAATTTATTTGTAAGCCCAAAATCAATACTCAAAGTGCTTTTGTGGTCATTCACAGACATGTGAAATATGCAGAGTGGCAAAAACTATGAGTCTTCAATGCACAAGGCTGGTCTGGTATTCACTAATTCAGTGTTCACAGGGACTTTATAGAACATAACTGCCATGAATAACAAGAATCAAATATATGTGCTTAAATTTTTAAGATGAGGACATTGTATTTGGTTAAATATTTTCTTAATGATTAGGGTTGCCTCCATGACACCAACTCTTAATTGTAATACAATAACATTCCTGAATACAATGAAGTGTTTAAGGCCACTCGCCCTCCATCTAAATGGCTTCGATTTTAGGGCTTTTTGAATTCTCATGTCTGCTTCTTATAGTTTTCCTGCCTCTTCCATTGCTGTAAGCTACCTGTAGTCACTTCCTGCAGCTCTCACGTGGATACTAGCCTCTATGAAGAACCGTAATTATAATACCAGCCAGTGTTTGCGTGGTGGTTCAAAACTGGTACAGGACTTCGACCTCAGTCAGTATTACTTTTGATCCTCACAACGATTCTGTGACAATAACTAAGCTTTCATATTAGTTACACATAAGAGCGGATACATATGGGCTACTGAGAGATCTGTTTTGCTTATTTGGTTCTAGTAGGGGATATATTTCTATATTTAATATAGTTTCTTTGTATTTTCTATGTGTTTTTGAGCTAGCTCAACAAAATGAGCATTTGAAATTAATTAGACAGCTTTGCTTCATTATGTCAGAAGCAGGCACATTAAGGAACCATATGAACCTGCTAAACTAGACACTTACGTTGCAAATCTGATAGACACATAATCATTGGTTTCGGCAGTTTTTATTTTTAAGCTTGCTATTTCTTTCAATCTGTCTAAAAGAATGGACTTCGCTAATGAGGCTCATTAATTATGTCAAATCGTTTTTTGTGAAACCTCATTAATTGACAAAAAAAAATAAAGAAATGAGCTGTTCCTTGATGCTTAAGAAACTGTGCTAAGTTCAGATGTTTTAAATCTCCCTCCTTCCAAATATAATCAAATTTTGAAAACATAATGTCCATGTTCATCTGTGAATGAGGACAACTGAGCTATCATTTGGGGTTCATTTTCAGAAAGGTGAAAAAAATAATTTATAAAAACAAACTAGCAGTGGTGTTAGAGAAAGCCAACTATATCTAAAGCAATAACAATAATTAAATACACCATAAGTCTAATTCCACACCTACATTTTTGTTAGAGACACAGCTCAAGAAAAAAAACCTTACAGCACATATGAAGAGTGTAAATTGTTTCTTGGATTATTACCACTACCAGGTTGTATGAAATTCAAAGGAAAATACCACTTAAGTTTGGCAGTTAAAAATACCAGATCTGGGAACCAGTTCTTTCCAGTTCAAACCTCTGCTGAGCATTTGCATTTCTAACAAGTTCTCAGGCAATGCTAATGCTACTGATTAGGGACCAATTCTGACAACCATTAGTATTGCCAAAACCAACAAAACAAAACAAAACAAAACCCGTTGCCTTTGAGTTGATTCTGACTCACAGCAACCCTGTAAGACAGAGTAGAACTGCCCTAAAGGGTTTCCAACGGGTGCGTGGTGAATTCAAACTGCTAGACCTTCTGGGTGGTAGCTGTAGCTCTTAACCACTACACCACCAGGGTTTCCAGTAGTATTGCAGCAGTTCTCAAAGTTTACTATACATAAGAATCACCTGGAGGATTTTGTTAAACTGTAGATTCTGACTCAATATATCTGCGGTAGAAATGCAAATTCTCAGCAGGAGTTCAAACCAGAACAAACAGGTTCAAAGCCCTGACAAATACGTCAATAGTAGTTCAGGGATGTTATTGAATATCATCTAAACCAATTGGATGAAATAATAACTTTTTAATATGAACTACCAATAATGTGTCATGATTATATATTCTTTAATAAATATATAGCTGTATATAATTATTAGTGCTGTCACAGTAACAGTTATTATTATGTTTGATGCTTTATCCAAAGCTTATTTACCTTGACAAACACAATGTCAATAATCTATACAGTAATATTTGCTATTCTCACATGGTGCAGGTGAATCACATATACTAGATGCTTTTGTAAAGAGAAAGCAGTAAAAGCACACCCAAAAGAGGAGCATAGCAAAAAGAAGGATGCAAGCATAAAGGGAAAACTGTTAGTTTTAGGTTATAATTAGGTTTGATTTTTTCCCACATGCTCTGTTAACTGCAAATCATTACAGCTATGGAACACGTGCCTTGAAACTTTAAACGGGTTAATTTTCTTTCACACTTTGCAAGCTCATTTACCACTTAAGCGTGTAGATTCCTCTTGGTAGGTGGCTCTCATCTCAGTTGCCGAAGCATCTGAGGTTGCATATCCCAGGCTTTTAAAAACTCTTTCACTCTCCTGCCATGTCTTTTGAAAATTCCTCTTGAGTTCTTTAGGTGAATCAGAAATATCTAAAATATGACCGGCGATGACATCTTCATAGGTTGGTGGAGCATGCTTGAAGTCAAAGCCCGATTTGCTGGCTTCTGAGCTATGGGATGAAGAGGCTGCTGTCTCGGACCCAAAAACTTGACTTTCAAATGCATCCACGCCTGAGAGATATTCACTTAGAGACCTTGTTTCAGAGCATACCCTGGGCTGTTTAAAAGAAATTTTTTCTTGCAGCTCTCTGGGATGTCTGCAAGAGAGTCCCCTGAAACTCGTATTTTCTGAAGATGTTAATCCAAATTCCTCCTTACTAAACGCACGACTGTCTTGCTTTATATTATGGTTTGCTTCTCCATCTGCATAAACTCTTCTATTTGACTTTGCTTCAAAAACTGGGCCATCCTCAAATTCCCTGAACCATCGGTTTATATCATTGTCATGGTCATTTACGAAATTTTCAGCCATTTGAACAGTTTGGTTGGCTGCTTCGTATCTCTGCCTGGGCCCTGACACGTGAGGCACTTCGACCTTGCGGATGATTTCAACTGCATCAAAACTTTCCATATCCGGCACTATGTGATCAGTGGAATTAGCTCCATCTTTGTGAGTATAAGTCGTCCTTTTCTCTACTTGCCTAACTTCCTCTTGTGCTTCCATGGATTCTCTAAATGAACCACTATTACCGCGATTGACGCTTACAGGTATTGTGATTGTAGGCGGGGAGTCCCTACCACGAGTTTCTATCTTAATTTGACGACGAAGTGTTGCAGGAGACGTGATGATCTCAGACCTCTTCTCTACAATTGGAACTGGGGTTACTGACGGACTTGGGATGGTCCCTCTGGATAACTTTGCAGTGGTGTCTTTGAGTTTGACAAGTTGTTCAGAGCGACTCCTGGGTGGAGAAGGGGAGGTGTTTGCTCTGTGAATTCTAGATGTTTGTGATACGGGCCTTCTTAGTGGTGGTTCAACAGACCGATCCTTTTTAGGAGACTGAGAAAGCTCATCCTTAGTTGGGGTTTCTGATCGTCGGGCAGTAGACTCAATTGTTATAAAAGTAGGTGACTGGGGTCGTGTTCTTAAAAAGGAAGGAGAAATTTTGTTGTCATCTAGTTTAGTTTCCTGATGGGTTTTTACGTGATTGTGAGCAATTTTTGCTTCGTGATGAGTTGCTACTTGATGGTGAGCTGTTTTTTCTTCTACAATTTTATTTTCTTTCTGCTCAGTGTTTTTCTTGTAGCTTACTTTAACATTAGGCACTTCAGATAATGTTTCATTAAGACTAGTAGGTTTGTTTCTCAGATTTCCTGCTTTAGAGGACATCATGGCTGTTTGAATTATATTCTCAGAGGACACAAGCATATCTTCTGCTTGAGTTTTAATATGTATTATTTCTTCTTTTATTTTTTCTAAATTATTCTCCATGGCAATGCGAACTCCATAGTTTCTTCTTTCTTCACTTATCAGCCATACTGGAATAATATTTAACAGTGTCTGAAATGTTTTAAGGCCGTTTGTATTTGGCTCTGCTTCAAACTGTTTCACTCTAGATAGAATCTCCTGTAGTTCTTCACGTTTTCTCAAGAATTCCAATATATTTACAGCACATTTTCCATCATCCTGCTGGGATTCTTTCACAGATGAGAATAAAGATTTGTTCTGTGTAATCTCTTGCTTTGAATCTTTAGTATTAGAGAAGACTTGTTTCTGTTGTATGCCCTTGACTCTGAGACATTTTTCTTCTTGCAGACTATTATATGGCTGGGGCAATTTTTTATGTTCGACTTTACTTTCAGAAGCCTGTATTTGTGTTTGCTGAAAATTCTGAGTCTGTGAATCAAGATGTGCGTCAATAACCTTTTGCTTGACTACCTTCTGTGCTGACTTATTCTTAAAATGTTCTTGTTTTCTTTCCTCTATTAGTCTTTCTTCTTTTGGACCAATCACTGCTGGTCCCTGATTTTCTTCTTCATTTCCTGGAAGTTTCTCACTGTCAGATTCTCGAAATTCTCTTTGCTTCTCATGAACTATACTGAGCTTTCTTTCTTGGGTCTTCTTCTCTGGGGGTTCTATAGGCACTTTTATTGTCACTCTTTTCTCCCGATCAGGTAATTGATAATATTTGTCAGCCACAGTTTGCTTGTTACTACATTCAGTGCTTGCTTCTGTTTTCTCACTTTCGTGATACTGCTGTTTAGTAATGGTTTGAACATTAACTTCATGTTGCTTTTTATGGCTTTCATAGCTGTGGTCTGTTTCATTTAATTTAGAATCTAAATTTGGGATCTTGATAGTTTTAACTTTAAAACTTGGAGGAACGGGCTTGTTTAGAGGCAAGTGCAACTGCTCCAGATACTTCTTTTGTTGTGTACTACATTCTTGGTGACTCTGTTTAATTTCACAAGCTGATTTAGATTGTATAATGTCCCCTGAGCTCTCTAAAACATCCTTTTTAATGCTGTCTTTGTCTTCGGAGGCTGCTAAAACATCTTGGAGCTTCTTGGCAGCCACCGACACTGCTGATGTTTCGGAGAGCTGCTTATCTGTGCTAACTTTCATTACTTGCGCGTTACTTTGAGAGTATGGATTGGATAGGACCACAGTGATCTCTGAACCCTTTCCAGGTAAAGGAGACTCCTCGTTTGTTTTTTGTAACAGCACTTCCTTTTCCAACTCTATTATGTTTTGATTTTGGCCTTCGGTTTTGACTATTTTGTAGCAAGAACTCTCGTGTTTCTGTTTTTCAAGCTCTTCTCTTTGCTGTCTATATTTTTCTTCAGCAATCATTAAAGGTGTCTTAAATTTTCTCATATAAGGTTTTGGACTTTGTTGTCCTGAGCCCACTGGAAATGAATGAGATTTTAGAAGAGGTGCTGTCTGTTTTTCCTTGGGTGGTGAAGTTTCTGGAACTGTTTGTGAGAGAGACTTCACAGACTCAATAGATGATTGCTTTCTTTCATCAAGACTTTTTCTAGACATGTTCTGTTTTGTCTCTGTGTGCTCACTGCTAGTCGCCATCATTACTCTTTTCTGATCCTTTGCGGGAGTAATTTTACATTCTATATCTGACAGGGACTTTGCTGCTTTTGAGGAATGATGTTTCTTTCTATCTTCCATCTGTTTCTGCTTGAGAAATTTTGGTTTGGGTAATGTTGGAGGTGGCAAAACTTTGCCAGATTTTCCTGTCATGATTTTGGTTTGAGAGTGAGTTTGCTCAGAGTGTGAGGCTTCTTCTTGGGAGTATTGCTGAATGAATGCTCCACTGTGCTTTTCCTGAACAGAAGAGAAAAGATGTGCTGGTTTTTGAGACAGAGTTGGAGGAGGGGGTGGGGGTAGAAACATTGATAGGCAGTCTTTCTCATCTATTGGTGGTGGTGGAAGAGGGAGGTTTGGGAAGCTTTCACATTCAGCCTTTATCTTCTCTGTGGACAGTGAAGGAGGAAACATACTTTTGTCAGGCAACATCATTACAGGAGGTGGAGGAGGAAGTGGAAATTCAATTTCAGATGATCCATTGGAAGGTGGAGGAGGAGGTGGGGATGGAGGTGGAAGGGGGCACTCACTTTCTTTCATATTTTTCTCAGGGTTAAAGTTGATTAGATTAAAGGACTTTTCCATTGCCATTTTTAAGTCTGTTGAAGTGTTTGTCTTCATTAGAAAGTCCTGACTTTTCAGATGAACATCAGTCTTCTGCTTTTTGTCGGTTGCTTTAAATTTATTGTGGCTTTTTTCAGAAAATTTCATTTCTGTAACATTTGATATGTCTTGATCTACAGGCAAACACTGCCACGTTGGTTGAAGGTTCGTGTTATTTTTCTTTATATCCTTATTAGAATATTGCATTTCTTGCTTTAACAAAATTTGCTTCTGTAAGTCCTCCGTAACTTCGCAAGTTTTCCTAACTGGCATGTTGACTGGGCGCTGGGTAGGACTGGGCTTGGAGCTGGGTGTATCTGTTGATATTTTCATGTTTTTGTTTACTTTAGGACTCTTTAGATAGGAAGCCTCAGTCTTCTGGTGGCCATTCCTCAGCTCACAGGTTTGCATCTGTTGCTTTCCAACTGCTTTATCAGTAGACTGGGTGGAGTTAAAGACATCATCCTTCTTCTGCTCTGTCAGTGTCGCTGATTCCTTAGTTTTCAGGTTTTCCTTAACAGAAACAGTTGGAGTCAGTTGTCGGCTCATATGTAAATCTCTTTGATGCTGTCCTTTTCCAGCATCCATCCAGAAACCCATTCTATCCCCTGATTCCAACACATTTTCAATAGCTTTGTGGTGTGAATCAGATAGCTTTCTAAGGCTTTTCTCAAGAGCATCATTGTTTTGTTCACGATCTATGACAATCTTTACAGTGCCTTTGGGGGCTTCTGGAAGATTAATCTCAGTTCTTTCTTCTATTAAATTATCATAACAAGATTTGCCAGTAGTTTGCTTGACTGTATCTATGCCACCTTGCCACCTGGCTGCTGACTCAAGTGGTCCTGGCCTTGGCTGAAGAACACTCTTTTTGTCCCTGTGGACACCCCCCTGGTGCATCTCTGTTTTCTGCTCTTCTGAGGTTCCTACCGTTACAGCTTGCACATCTTCATTGGTTACACCTTCATCTACCTTTTCGAAAGGCCTTTGTTCTTCTTTCAGGGATCTTAATGATGTCTCAAAGTCATCTCGGGTAAGCTCCTTTTTCAAGATTGCAGTCTTTGTGTTTGCAGCTTTTTCAAAGCTTTCAATAGCCTGCTCAATATCACCAGGGATGGCATCAGGCTGTCTAGCTTCTATCCATTGATGGATTGATCCTTTAAGTGACTTGAGTGTGGCCAGCATGTCACCTTTTATAATTTCTTCTCTCTTAGCCACTGTTTTCTGATTTATAGCCTCACTGAGGGCATTTAGGGTTGATTTCAAATCACCTTTTATAATTTCTTCTTTGGATGTCTTAGAACATGTGCTCTGAGGCTCCGTCATAAAAATCTTAGCTGTATTATGCACATCTCCTGGGATGATGTCAGTTTCATTAACAGAATGTTCAATCTGAGACTGCCTTTTCTTTAGTAACAGCTTTGTGCCCTCAACATCACCACCAATTATTTCTTCCTCTTCCTCTTGTTTTCTAGGTGTTAGTATTTCATTTGACCCTGTCTGGAGTTGTCTGAGATAGTCCAAAGCTCCAGTTTCTATGCATGCTGTGAAAAACTGAACATTTCCTCTTTCAGAAGGATCAATTTTAGCCCTTTCAGATGTTTTATTGTTTGCCGTGGAAGATAACAAATTATGAATGGTGCGTTTTACATCACCTCCTACTATTTCTTCACGCTCAATTGTGTCACCATCATTTTCATGAAGAAGACAATAGATAGTCATGTTAATATCTCCTCTTTCATCTTCCTGAATTACAATGCCTTTCTTGACAGATCTTTCCTCAGAGAACAGGTTTTTTATTGCTTGTTGTACATCTCCTCTCACTATCTCTTCTTTCTCAGCATGAAATTCTGTTGCTCTGTTTAATAATTGAGTTTTAGTTAAATTAACATTGCCCTTCTCTTCTTCACTAACCAAAATCTCTCTTTTTGGACAGTCACTTTTGGAAAGTAGATTCACCATTATATTTTTGAGATCACCTGCGATAATTTCTTCTTTCTGTATCTCAGGAGATGCTTGATTCATGAGCTTGTATTTTGCCATTCGGACATCCCCAACTTCATTGGCTTCAATGATGATTCCAGGAGCCTCGATGACTTTTTGAGAGTAGAGCTCTTCTAAGGTTTCTTTAATGCTCTTGCCAATAATGTTCACCTTTTCTACCCTATTTTCATTAAATTCATGAAGGGGTGTTGTTTCAAAGAGCCATGTAGTTGTCTTAACATCAGAAGGAGGGATTTCTTCCTTGATTATTTTTGTGATGCCCTCATCTGTTTCCTTAATAGAATCTAAAGTTTGATTTTCAAAAAGCCATACTGCGTGTTTAACATCACCTTTCTGCACATCTTCCTGGGTGACTGTCTTGATATTTTCATATTCTGACCCTTCTCCTCTTAGTTCATCTAGAGTGTGGGTTTCAAATAGCCAAGTAGATGTTTTAACATTGCCCTTTTGTATTTCATTGATGCTTACTGTTCTTATAGAAGTATTTTTATCCACATTTTCAGACTCAAATAATTGCTTACTGGTCTTTACATTCCCACCTTGAATATAGTCGACAGTGGGCACAATATCATGTGATTCTTCAGAAATCTTATCCAGTGGCTGTGTTTCAAATCGGTATCTGACCGAATTAACATCTCCCTTCTGAATGTCTTCTTGTGTGACAGATTTAATAATATACACAGTATCAGATTCATTAATTGAGTCTAATGGTTTTGTTTCAAAAAGCCACCTTGTCCCTCGTACATCTCCATTAATTACTTCTTCTTTTTTAACTGTTGTCACTTCATGATAATACCCTTCTCGGTCTTGTATTGCATAGAGTGGCTGAGTTTCAAACAGCATTCTGTAGCTTTTCACATCACCTTTTAGTATTTCTTCAGTACTTGTTTCCTTGGTGCTGATATAGTCAGATTCTTCTTTAATCTTATCTAAAGAAAAAGTCTCAAAAATAAAGCACCCTTTTCTTACATCCCCACCTTGTATGTCTGTCACTGTCTTAACTAATTCATCACCTTCTTTACTTTCTTTTATCATATCAATTGGTTGATTTTCAAAAAGCCACCGACAATTTAAAACACTGCCGTTTTGAATATCTTCAGTTTTTAGAGTTTTGATCTTTTTCAAAACTTCCTCTGAACTGGAACTTATAGAATCTAAGGACTGATTTTCAAATTTATACCGCATGCTGGAAACATCTCCAGCTTGGATATCCATTTCCACAGGCTTGATTTCCTTTCCTTCTTCTCCTTGTATGCTGTCCAAATTTTCTGTCTCAAAAAGAAAACATGCTGTACGAACATCCCCACCTTGGATCTCCTCCTGTTTTATGGTTTGCAATTTGACTGTTGCTTCAGAATTGTCTTTTATGGTATCAAGTGGCTGAGTTTCAAAAAGCCAGGTACAGGTTTTGACATCTCCCTTATGAATTTCTTCATTGCCAGTCACTAATGAAACTTTTTCATAAAGAGACTCCATTGGCTGTGTTTCAAAAAGCCATTTACAGGTTTTGACATCCCCCTTAATATCTGTAGCTTGTTCAGTTTTGTTGTCTGTTTCTTCCACATTATTAAAATATTTAATTGACTCAAGAGGTTGGGTTTCAAACAACCATTTAGCAGATTTTACATTTCCAGTCTGTATTTCTTGAGCAGATATTCCTCTAATAATCTGAAATTTATGAATGCTTTCATCAAACTGGTCAATGGGCCTTGTTTCAAAAAGCCACCTACAGCTTCTCACATCACCTCTTAGGATTTCTTCTTGCTGAACTGTCTTTACTTGATGATATTTTCCTAGGTGATCTTGAATGGCATACAGTGGTGTTGTTTCAAAGAGAGATTTATTTAACTCCACAGCACCTCTTGTGACTCCTTCCACCTCTATTTTATGTGATGCATCAAAATTAATTAAGTTGTTTGATTCAAAAATACGTGTGTAATTCCTTACATCTCCTCTGTCAACCTCTTCAAGTTTCACTGTCCTTGTGTACTCTTTTTTATTTTCTCTAATCTCTTCTAGAGGTTGGGTTTCAAAAATCCATTTCTGATGCCTAACATCCCCCTTTTCTTCTTCAGAGGCAGTAATTTTTTGAAGCTTTCCTACATCAGGGCTATCTTTTAAAGCCTCTATTGGAAGTGTTTCAAATAGGTGTTTAGTAGCTTGCACATCGCCACCTATTATCTCCTCAGGTGGTAGAGGATCTGCAAGAGGAGTTTCGTTTAGAATGTCTAATGGCTGGGTTTCAAACATCCAACACTTTCTGGAGACATCCACACCCATTATCATTTCCTTTTCAGTGATTACGTCTTCTGTCTCTTCTTTGATTTTCTCTAAAGGTTGGGTTTCAAATAACCACTTTGCCCTACTTACCCCACCTTTGACATTTTCTTTTATGGATATTCCTCGGACAACTTTAATTTCTGTGATATCTTTATTAATTGTGTCCAAGGGCTGTGTTTCAAACATCCAACGTGCTGTTCTCACATCGCCCCTTTCAATATCTTCTCTGTGAAGAGTTTTAATTTCTAGCATTTGACCTGAACCATCTCTAATAACATATAAAGGTTGAGTTTCAAAGCATTTTATACTTCTCTTCACATTGCCTTTAATTTCTTTGAGCTCAGATCTGAGTTGCAGTAAGTGAACCTCATCCACTGAATGAAGCTGTCCAAGTTGATCTAGATGTTGAGTCTCAAACATGTATCTCACAGTCTTGACATCCCCCCCAGTTATGTCCTTAACGGTAGTTACTTCTGATTCTTCTTGACTTTGATGCATTCTATTCAGTGCATCTAATGGCTTTGTTTCAAACATCCACTGGGCTGTGCGCACATCTCCTCTGGCTAGCTCAGGAATTTTCTCAGCATTATCTGCAGTGACTGAAGAATGAACCCCCAGTGTATCTATGGGTTGGGTTTCAAACATCCATGTGGTATACTTCACATCACTGCCAGCAATGATTTCTTGATCAGCGATGCCCTTCAGGATGCTACCTTCATCTTTAGAGCCACTGTTGATGGAATCTAATGGTTGATTCTCAAAGATCCATCTCATGGACTGTACCTCTCCCTTCAGAATTTCATCCCACTCCATGTGTTCTCTTTCAGCATTCAGACCTTTCTGAGACTTGTCATTCGTGTTTTCAAAAACATACCGGACTTGTTGTACATCTGCTGACACTGAGCTCCCTGGTTTCACTTGACTAGAAACAATCTCAGAAACCTCACTGATATAATCTTTTTCTAAGTTTTTTCTTAATTCAGGATGGATGTGTTTATATAAACGGTTTAATTCATACAAATTTCTTTGCTTGGAATATAATTCTTTGGGGACTGGTGGTCTTCCAGCAGGACTAGGTGATTCAGGGGACTGGGAAAATGCTGTCACATCTATTGGAGTTTGAAGTACATCAGGTGGGGGAGGAGGAAATTCTTCTGTCTTTCCAGAAGGAATGGCATTAACTTGTGCCAGAGTAGAAGAAGTGACACTGTGGTCACTGTATCTAGTGGTTGATATTTCCTTTCTCTGGCTGGCTGAAGCGCAAGAAGTAGAAGAGGTGTCCGCAACTGAAGATGGCTTTAAAGTCTCTTCATATTCACTTTTAATCTTTAGGGGAGAGGAAATCAAATCTTATAAAGATAGGTGTAGTGGGAGAGGCTTCCTAGTCACTGCCCTTTATTGTCCACATACCGAGACCCTGCTATAACATGTCTATTGGGAATAGCAGGTGTTATACTTCATTTAAAGACATACTTAGGAGCAGTATTCAATGTCTGTTGCTATCTTTGCAACATCCATTTGCACTGTAAAGTTATACTGCACATTCAGCTCATCAGCTACTAAGTGTTTTAACATTTACATATAATCTTGATTTTTTTTTCCTTTGCTTAATGTGCTATGCAAAGTAATCTAGAGGGAAACAATAAAAGTCTTAAAGTACTTTTAAGGCTTGTTTTGTTTTCCTTGGAATTTTAAACAAAACAGAATAAGCATTTGAAATTTAAATTTTACTTTATTATTTCATCTAATATTAGTTATTAGACTAGAGCATACGTAATTTTTCTTTCTTTATTTTCTCTAGTGAGAAAAATTTTAACTCTCTCTCTGTTTTTTGTTGAGTAGATCAATATTCTCCTTATGGAACAGAATAAGTACTGGTTCAGTTATGTTTTTATTGAAAAACCACCTTAAACATTCAATAATTTGAAAATGCGATGCATTTAGGTATGGTTTTGCATTTAATATGATTCTTTTTAGAGAAATTGTCTTACCTTAATCTGCTTGGCTGGGGTTGTTGTCTCTTTGTCAGAATAAAGGACCTTTTCCTGGGCAGACTTTTCAAATTGCTCTTTTAAAAACTTAGTTGAAACCTTTGGAATCTCTTCATCCTCAGGTGTATCAATGACTACAAGTAGAAAAGAACACCAGGGATATTATTCAACTAATAAAAAAATGATATTTGAGAAGAAATTATAATGGTATAGATTACTTCTCATAATATACATTAAGTGAAAAACCAATATGAAAATGTGTATCTATGAGCCTATTTAATTATACAAGTTAGGTATATGAAGAAGATATAGGAAAAATATAGTAAAAAAATTTTGGAAGGGAAATGTTATTGGTAGTTATTTCTAGATAGAAAGTCATAAGTGATAAAAACAGTTCTTTATTTTAATTGTATATATTTTCCAAATTTTCTACAAGCATACTTTAATGCTCAGGAAGAAGATAATTAAAAGGTTATAAGATAAGAAAAGAATAACAGAAGAACAGAACAAGGAAGACTTATTTTCTTAAGTAGTAAAACCAAAGTATAGATATAATCAAGTAGCATTTTGGTCATAAAACCAAAACCACAAACCAAACCCGTTGCTGTTGAGTTGATTCTGACTCATAGCGACTGTAAAGGACAGAGTAGAACTCCCCATAGGGTTTCCAAGGAGTGGCTGGTGGATATTTTGGTGATAGTTGTCTTAAATCTTCCCTTCTAGCTCTTCAGGGGACAGAATAACTCCTCATTCTCCTTTTATAGGCAAGACGAACTACGCCTGTCTTATGCAAACCTATACAAATTTGTCCCTAGTCTAATCTCATTTATCTGTAGGTTGGAGCACTGGACTTAATATGCTTACATCTATTATTAAAAGTAATTATTATTAAAAGTAATACAATCTAGATATCAATTCTGTTCTCAGGGAACTTGATAAGCATCCTTTTATTCTAAATCCTGGAGGCAAAAAACAACACAGGGTAGTTAGCTTCTCATCATTTTCTAGGCTTAGGATGAATACATCATAGAGGTGATGTGCAATAAACTGTTTTAGAAGGTTATTGTACTTATTGCCACAGACAGAACTTAATCACACTTAGAAATACCACCCTGGCCCTTTGGGGAAATGAGTCATAGTCAGTAGAGCTTCTCAGTGGGAGGGGTGTGCTTTGAACATCCTTCATTCAAACTCAGACACATCAGTAGGAGAAAGTTATATTGGGACCAAATAATCTAAACAAATTAAATAACAACAACAAAAAAGACTCTTACCTGTTTCTTGAACATATTGTTGGAAATGAGAAGCAGCTTGGTTTATTTCCTGGGTGTGCTTTTCAGGATGAGAGATCTGTGTTTAAAGGTAATTTTAAATAAATAATTGTTTGTAAGAAGAATTTATTTCCATACAGCAAACAATATTCTTCATCTCGCAGTGATTTTCATCTAAGACTTCAGTGTACATTGAAAGATGCTAACTAAACCTGTAGAATTTATTTTAATGGATGGGCTCATGATACAATTGCATATATTTGATTTGGTACCTAAAGTTTGATTATCTTTTTAGGGTGCCAGTTTTGTGTTCCAACTTCAAGGAATGCCAGCTCCAAAGTTGAGAGAGATACTTATTGACACTAAACACATAAAGGACAATAAAAACAAATGCTTATAGAAAAGCCAGAATTTTCACGCAATTTTAGAAACTGGAAAGTATTATCGTTCTAAGTAGTTACCATTTCTGTTCCAAGAACTTCAATGTGATGTGTTTTGGAAGCTTCTTGTTTATTTCCTTCCATTTCCTGGCTGCTTCTTGAAATATTGGCTTGGCTGCTACCAGTTACCTCCTGAATAAAAAAATAAATAAATAAATAAATAAACAAATGAATAAGTAAGAGAATGCCTTGGGAAAGTCTGCAACTTTTGACTTTATTTATTAATGCAATTTCCATAACAAAGGCTTTAAAAAAAAAGTTTCCTCAGTGTATTTTTCTCTATTACTACTGTAACAAATCACCACAAACTTTGTGGCTTAGAATGAACAAATTTATTACAGTTTTGTATGTCAGAAATCTGAAATGGTTCTCATTCAGCTAAAGATGTTGGCAGGGCTGCATTCCTTTCTGGAGACTCTAGGGCAGAATCCATTCCTTTTCCTTTTGCAATTTCTAGAAGCTTCCCACATTCTTTGTCTCATGACCCCCTTCCTCCATCTTCAAAGCCAGTAAAATGGAGTCTAATTCTTCTCATGCTGCCATCTCTCTTATTCTCTCTTCTGATTTCCTCTTTTACTTTTATGGAACCTTGTGATTACATTGGACAGACTCAGATAATCCAGGATAATGCCTCTATTTTAAGGTCAACTGATTAGCAGCCTTAATTCCATCTGCATTTTAATTTCCCTTTTCCATGAAACCTAATATATTCATATATGTTGAGGATTAGGACATAGATATCTTTGGGGAGCCATTATTCTGCCTACCACCCTCAGTCTTGGTAAGCAACACCTGTTAATGATGCATCCTGTACCCAGTGTGAGAAAGATGATGCTCAAAAAAAGAAATGTAAGTCCTTGAAGACAAAGAAATATACTTTATTGCTTATAAATAAAATTTTTATGTTACAGAGAGACATTCTAGTCTTGAAATTGTTCACCAAGTTTGATGACACATCCAGAGTTCAATAGAAGACTATAAACATTAAACGTGATCATTAAAATAAACAGGCCATATTATGCTAGTTTGTATCTCCCTATCTTCACCCATGTGGCTACTTTTGATTTTGGTTAAATTTGCACAGGTGACCTGGCTGCATTGGAAATGTGGAGCTCTTGTTTAAGTGATCCAATCCTGCTTTTAGGACAGAATATTATTCTGACACGATTATATGATTCACTGACTGATATGATGAAGCAGTGGGCATACTGCTAAAAATTTTAACATCAAAAAATAAGGCTAGACTACTGACTTTTTACTAGAAGGCATGCATTTGAACTTTAAAGTTGTTATTTCACTTTAATCTTGATATCTATGTGACTAATTTACATTTGAAATCTGATTACTTTTAATTTGTCTTAGTAGAGCATAATCAAGTGAACAAAGATGCTTTATTATTCATCAAAATAGGAGCACTAAAGTTTTTTTTTTTTTTTTTTACAGTAAGTAACTTCCATTTTAAGCAATCATATCCCTTAAAACAAGAATAAAGTTCAAATTACTTCATGAAAACTGACTTATGAGTTTTTGCTAGCAGACTTATAGTATGTGGCTTTCCTCTCAAGAATATTTGGTATACAGGGTTTATGTTCTGATTAACCCAGAGGGCAGTCAGACGTTTACCTTGGAATGCATAATATGATCTGATCTCATTACACCTTTCTAGGAAGGAAACGTGTAATCAACTAAGAAAAAAGTTGATACTCTCCCAAAACATCCTACAAAGAACTGAGGCAAAATGTAGGTTTACATTTTAAAATATAGGTTATAGCTCCTTAAATTTAAGACCAGTGAAGTTTTTTTTTTTCCAGCAGAATAATTTCCCAGTGCCAGTTAATGATCCACAAATTTCAAATAATATTTGATAACATGCTTGAAACACTGTTTAGGTTAAGAAAAAGTTCACTGATGGAATGAATGATGAATCAGTGAATGAATAAAATAGCAAACTTTCATTAATAAATTAATATCAGTCTTTTTTTGTCCAGAGACTATCCTAGGAACTGAGGCTAGAATAAAGAACTAAAAAAGTACTTTGCTTTCTCAAGAGGTAGTATAGAAAAGAAATAACCCATGCTCTTTGCTTTAAATTCAAATAATCGGAAGTAAAAAGATGCTTTCCATAACCAAATTTTATTTAAGGCTATCAGTAGCATTAAGTTGGAGGGATGAATAACAACCATTGAAGATTGCAGATTAAAAAAAGAAAAAAATGCCTGGGCACAAATGACAACTCCTTGCATGAAAACTCTTTTCATCTGTGACAAGTCTTTTCATCCACAGAGATATAATGATATTCTGCGGCTTTCTTCTGCACACATTGAAGAAATCAAAAGTGTCTATTAGACAGACACTGTAATAGCAAAGGAGAGTGGGAACCTGAGAGGTAACAAGGTCTTTATTATGGGGCACCACGATCATTCCGAAGAGGCCCTCGTGGCGCAATGGTTAAGTGTTCAGCTGCTAACCAAAAGGTCTGCGGTTTAAAACCACGAGCTGTTCCATGAGGAAAAAGACCTAGAAATCTGCTCCCATAAAGATTATAGCCTCGGAAACCCGACGGGGCAGTTCTACTCTGTCATTCGTTAGCTATGAGTAGAAATTGACTCGATGGCACACAACAACAACACGATCATTCCAGTAGAATAATGTCTCTACCTAGAGGCCTGCATGTCAGCTGTCGCCAAGAAACATGCTTTATATGGTTCACACAGTGTTTTTAATGTTTCAAATTGGTTACTCCTACAAAAATCAAGATTTCGGCCTGCTCTTGAAAACTTAGAATACCTGGCAGCACAGAGTTCAAATTCCAGCACGGCAGCAGCTGGCTAGAACAAAGTAGTTGCCGGCCGTTTTAGCTGGTGCATATACTCTCTAGCTGACCACGGTCCCCATCAATTGCTAATATTTAACACCAAGTTGACATTTTAAAAAGCCTGTCTGGTACTCATAGAAATTTGAGTTTCTGATATCTGTCACCAACTGTTATACTGAAAGAGTAGAGTTAGTGATGGGAGTCTGTGTGTTAAGGAAGACAAATGCAAAGTATTGGGAGTAGAAAAATAGCAAGTGAATGTATTTTTGACCCATATTTTTAAGAATTATCATTTTCTGGAGCAAACATTTTATACTTAATGTATCTACTTGAGGAAAAACAATCCATGCCATCATCTCTTAAATATATTTTCTTGTGAGAGATGACACAACAAGAGCAGTACAAGTGTATATAAATTTAGTTTAGAGTTGTAAGTTTCTACTTCAGCATTTATGTGCTATAACTAAATAGAACTGTAATTGCTACACTAGTTTGGTGTGTTAGCGTCAATGCATCAATTTTACTGCCCTCTGGTTGCTATAACTTACATAAAACCTGTCTTAAAATGTTCTAAGTTTTTATTTCCTCATTTACTGTGTTTCATATTTTACAATTGGTTTAGTTTGTATTTTATATCTGACTTTCCATTCTTCCCAATTGCTGTAGTCTATACATTTGTAGGGTTAGAAAAATGGATGGATCATCATAATGCTCAGGAAGAAATCAAATTACACAAATAAAATATAATAAAGAATTCTGGTCAAGACATCATGCATATTCACACACCATGATTCATGAAATTGGTTCTGGAAAATTAAATTCAAATATAGACCAGGCTACTAGAAACAAAATGCTGTGTGTTCTCAGGTGGATTAACGAAGAGTTACGAATGGAGGATCTATACTTACTCCCTCCTCCACTAGTTATGTTGCATAAGTTAATGAATCACATTTAAACTCAGTTTTCTCATCTCATGAAACCATTAGAAGAAAGACAAAGATAATATATATGCTATAATTTTGAAATCTAAAGAAGGAAATGTGGCACAATTACAAAACATTATTATGATGTTTGCATAGCTCACACCAATCTCATGTCAGTTCATGTACTAGCCAAGTATTTTACAACACTGTATCCTTGATACCTTGGTGCCTGTGAATTATGGAGTTGGTGAAGAATATTGAATATACCATCGACTGCCAAAAGAACGAACAAATCTGTCTTGAAATAAGTACAGCTGGAATGTTCCTTAGAGGCAAGGATGGTGTGGCTTTGTCTTACATACTTTGGACATTTTATCAGGAGGGACCAGTCCTTGGAGAAGGACATCATGTTGTTAAAGTAGAGGGTCAGCAAAAAAGAGGAGGAACCCTCAATGAGATGGGCTGACACAGTGGCTGCAATAATGGGCTCAAGAATAACAAGTATTGTTAGGATGGTGCAGGACCGTGCAGTGTTTCGTTCTGTTGTACATAGGGTCACTATGAGTCGGAACCAACTCAATGGCACCTAACAACAACAATCCTTGATACACTAATCTTCTAAAAAATATTTCTTCCAGCACAGTAAAGAGTTCACATTCTGTCCACTCAACTTGTCATTTTTATTATCATTATAGGAGAAGACATTGTAAATTTCTACTAGTAAAAATAAAAAATCCTTCTAGGTGAATGAGTAAGAGAAGAAAAAGACAGACTTTTATGGTTACTCACTATTATTGTGACTCTTAGAGGTGTACCCTATAGGAAAGAGTGGCTGAATATTAGAGGATAGATCCCTCACCAGAGTGGAAAAAACAGAAGTCCACGCTCAATTCCAGTAATTCAGCAATTTTACCCATCACTAATCGCATTTTTAATAAAATAAAAAAAGAAATAGAAAAGGTTATAATGTATTAATGTTATTTCTATCTTTGTCAAACAGACAAACAATAACAAAAATGTGTTGTTTATCTCAGCAAAAATGTCAATGGATTCAAGGATTGGAAAAATAATCAGTTCTTTCTTTTTAAAGAAGAGCATAGAAATTTGTGGTTGACTACTATACAGCTATCGTAGTCAAAACAGGTACTGGTACAATGGCAGACACATTGACTAATGGAAGATAATTGAGAACCTAGATGTAAATCAATCCGTCTATGGTCACCTGATCTTTGACAAGGCCCAAAGTCCATTAAATGGGGAAAAGATAAGTCTTTTTAGCAAATGGTGCTGGCAAAACTGGATGTCCATCTATAAAAAATGAAACAGGACCTATACCTCACACCATACACAAAACTAATTCAAAATGGACAAAGACCTAAATTTAAAACCAAAAG